TCCTTTCTGACGGTCATTGTGTGAAGATACGAGTTGTTTTGAGCACCATCCACAGGCCTCTCAGTGACAGACTTCTGGTTTTGTTCTTCGAGTTCAAACGAAGCCAAGAAACGACATGATCTATAAAGCGCTTGTAAACTTTAATCACCGCAGCTGAGTCATCGCTTTAGGCTCTGAATGAATAGTTGTTTGAGAATGACATGGTTTTTTTCTCATTCTGTCAGTCGAGACCTAGCTTATTGTTCTTCCTTGAAAGTTTATCAGCAATACTACCACCAGAAAATAGCATGCTAAAAGCCATCCAGTTATTACAAAGCGCTTTTAAATTCCTCAGGCAGCAGAAATAATGACTTTTTTTGGTTCCGGCCTTCCATTTTTCATGCCGCTGTCACAGCCAATGATTTGATTTGGAACCAGACTCCTCATTTGCATATAGCCTAAATATAGCCAGCGAATGTCAATGCAAACAAAGTGCGATATGTCTATAGTCTCTATATTTCTCATATGCACAAAATCACAAAATAGGACATAAATATGAGAGTTCGAGCAATACAGTCATGGTCTGTTACAAAACCCAGTGAGCTGCCTATATAATCAACTGCTTTCTAAGGGTGCATCCAAATCATCATGGGACCTCATGGCTGATTCAGGATGTTCTACATGAGCAGCAGCATCAAATTACAATACTTATGCACAGTGCACAAGATTTTGCTATTTTATGATATGATAATTAATGTTTCTGATGCCTGATGACAAATTCAAAATCAGACGTTGCCAATTTTGTTGTTGTTGTAGGAATTAAACAGTATTTACAGTATTGCATTATTTTTATCTATTATATATTTTTACATTATTTTATAATATTGTATCATTGTTATTAATATTTGTAATTTATTTTACATTTTAAGGATTTTTTTTCATTCAAACCGTACAAAACAGGTCTTAAGTTTTTATTTGTTATTGTTATAGAAAGAAGCAAGAAGAAATATTAAGTACAAATAAATAAAAAGAGATACAATTCTAATTAAAATAAAAAAAAACCTCTTAAAGGAAGAGTTTCAAAAAATAGCATAATTGTAGGACTTTCAACAGATTGCTTAATAAGACTTTCAACAGATTTCAATGGATGATAAACTTAAAAGCATTCTTATATGCATACATTTTTTTTAAATATATATATAATTTAAAAAAAATCACAAATTTTATTATACTAAATTTAATTATATACCAATTTAATATACATTTTATAATCTATTTGTACAAATATAAACTATTATTTATATATTATATATATATATATATATATACTGTATATATACACACACACACACACACACACTTTTTTCACCTCGTATACCATCCTGAATGTGCACAGTGAAATGCATTATGAAATTGACGTCTGCACGAAGAATACATGCTTATGAAGGCATCTTAAAAGGCAACATAATCATGCATTTCGGAACAGCATTCCCGCTGTGAGCACTTAAAATGCTACCCACGTAGACAGCTCACTAGGTTTTGGAAGAGAGCCTCAGTGTGTGTGTGTGTGTGTGTGTGTGTGTGTGTGGACCGCCAGTCATATGTTTTGCATCTTTACGTAATGGAGCTCCTGGTACGATATCCCATAAGAAAGAGAGGGAATGCAAATTAGAAATGACTGTTACAATAGAGAGCATTCCAAGATGGAGAGGAAACGAGAGGGAATAATTCGATTTTTCTGGTGAAATCAAGCACTGAGCCATTCATGTCTGTTCTGCTCTCCGATGGGTCACAGACCCGCGAGGCCATAGATTCGAGTCGGGATAAACATTTTATATCGAAGGAAATATAATAGTGCAATAGTGTGCTACTGTAATACTGCAAAATTCTCAATGTCACAAAGGCTTTTAATGTTTAGTTTTCCACAAATCAGATGGTAACATAGAAGCTCTGTGCTGTCACTCAAGACATTTTCCAAAAGAAAACCTGGTCCAGGATAAATCCATCTGCGGGATTTAAACCTTTATTAAATCCAAAACACACATACAAGCGTTTTCCTCCTGAAGCCAGCTGCCTTTCCAATGAAATTCTTTAAAACAGTTTAAACACACTATGGAATCTGTTATAGGTGGGATTAAGCACTTTAAAATGAGCGATTGGTGTTTTTAATGAAGGATTTGTCGATTTAGAGGCTTCTCACATCATAATACGCCTATCCTTGTTTTAAGCAAGTGAAAATACAGTACAATTACCAGGCATTAGATAGGCTTAAAATGAATAATTACAGCAGGAATTATGCTTTCTGTTGCAGAGAGGTTGACTGTTTGACACATTTTTAATTGCTAGACTTTACTTCTTATTTGAGAGAGTCTAATAAGTGAGATTTAGCTTAATTACAGGAGGTCCGAATGCCTCGGTGAGCAGAGGACGAGTCGTCCCGCTTGTCTTTCTCTGCAGTGGCTGTCACAACACTACAAGCAGTAATCAAAGCATTTCTTCGGGCTCTAATAGCTGGATGACCACACTCTCTGTTTGTGTTTCTCTGTGCCATTTGTGTGCCCTCGAGTGGAAGGATTCCTGAAGCAAGAACTGTAATGCTGACATTAATGATAGCTCCACAGCTCTACTCCCAGGAGCTTTCGAGACTAATTTAAACACACTCTTAACCCAAATTCCTGCTTTGTTTACTGATCATGTGGAGGGCTGGGTGTATTTTATCGCAATATATTGTAGCCTGTTTTGTAGATATTTATGTATATCCATTGAAATTATTCATTCAGAACAACCATTTCAATCAAAATGCTATTGTTCACAAATAAATTCAAAATTATTAAAGCAAGAAGTAAAACACAGCAAACATTTTTTTATAAATATATATATTTTTTGCACTAAAAGACCACAAGTTTAAATGCACCAATATAACAATATTCATAAACAGCAAATGTATATGCATATATTCTTACTAAATATTTTAATATATGAAAAATGTCCGTGAACAGTCTGTGATGGCACAAATGAATCACTGAATCAGAGTTTTGAATCAATTCATTGAACTAATTCAGAGAAATTAATCAAACAACTCTAAAACTCTTTTTGTTACTGAAGTTTAAATGAAAGAAGCATTTTTATAAGGCATGAGACCAGAAGGATCACAAAATTAGCATCACAAAATAAGCTGATTAAAAAAGCATCTTGATATACTCAATAATTTTAATTATCTCTGCATAATTTTAAATCACCAGCAAATTCATTCCATGAGTATTAAAAGTACCAAACCTAAATATTAATATACTGTATGTATTACTCTCCAGCACTGTGTTTTTTATTCTGAACACTGTTTGTATATATATATTTTTTATTTAATGAGCAAATTTTATATGACAGTATAACTAACAACATATCTTACAATATAGATGTTGTTGTTTTTTCCAGAAATGCAATGGAAAATAGTTTGTAAATAAGCTGATTAAAAAAGCATCTTGATATACTCAATAATTTTAATTATCTCTGCATAATTTTAAATCACCAGCAAATTCATTCCATGAATATTAAAAGTACCAAACCTAAATATTAATATACTGTATGTATTACTCTCCAGCACTGTTTTTTTTTATTCTGAACACTGTTTGTATATATATATTTTTTATTTAATGAGCAAATTTTATATGACAGTATAACTAACAACATATCTTACAATATAGATGTTGTTGTTTTTTCCAGAAATGCAATGGAAAATAGTTTGCATATTAATTATTCATGTGGTAATGCCTGTTTGAGGATTATCCAGTGAATCAAATACTTCACAAATAAAACTTCATCTCATTTGATTATTCAAATTGATTGTTCCTAAAGTCTGATTGGATGAGCCAAATTCAAAGCTGTCCAGTGACATCAGTCAAATTCTGTATTGATGCAGTGAAACATTGTTGCTTGGCAGCCATCAACAACTAGTATTTTACTTATCAAAGTTTTTCTCATATTGATTTGTTTGAGACACAAAATGTTACACTTTTGTGTTCACCATTACATGTAAATATAATAAAGCAGTCCTGCCCTCTGATAATCACAAAAATGTACAAAAATTATTATTATAATTTTTTTAATTCATACTTTTATTCAGCAAGGATGCATTAAATTGATCAAAAGTCACAGTAAAGACATTTATAATGTAAATGCTGTACTTTCCACTCGTCAAAGAACCCTGAAGAAAACTGTTTTCAACAAATAGAAATATTCAAATAGAAAACCGTTATTTTAAATTGTAATAATAGTCCACAATATTACAGTCTTTACTGTATTTTTAATTAAATAAATGCAGCCTTGGTGAGCAGAGGCAACTTCTTTCAAAAACATGTATTATATACAGTATAGTACAGTAAAAACTAGCTGATGCATTTCTACCACAACACTGTACACTCTCAGAAATAAAGGTGCAAAAGCTGTCACTGGGGCGGTACCTTTTCAAAAGGTACATGTTTGTACCTAAAGGGTCCATTTTGGTACCTTAAAGGTACATATTAGTACTTAAAGTGTACATATTAGAACCTAATAGGAACAAAAGTGTACCTTTTGAAAAGGTACCACCCCAGTGACAGCTTTTGTACCTTTATTTCTCAGATTACAGCATCCTAATGTTTAAAGTGTTTGAATGCGAGACTGCCTGTGAGTCACTTCACCCGCCTTGAAAGTATTTATGAAGCACAAGTTCATTAGCACAAATCCCATTGAGCACAAGTGTATGTGTTTGACTGTTTATATGAGTGTTTTCGGCTCATTTCTGGTTGCACTCATTCACCTCTACAGATTATGGTGCTGTGCCTGCTATTGACTGTCTCTCCGCTGTCTGTTTTCCCTCTCGCTTTCTCTCTCTCTCTCTCTCTCCCTCCCTCTCATGATGGTAAAAATATCTGCAGACAGCAGGAACACAGGCACAGCTCTCTCTCTCTCTTTCTCTCCCACCCATGTGATCTCTCAGGCAGGCGTCACTGTGCACAATCTCCAGCCCTCCGCCGGCTGCAGCTAATGAGTCTTTGTGTGGCTCGAGCGAATGAGAGCGAGTCTTCGGTCTGTTTTAGACCGGAGCGTATGCTAACAGCAGTGGAGACCGGGAGCGTGCAGTTTACCTCTCTCGCCCCGGTCTCCTCTCTCGCCCCAGTGCAATGGAGGGCCTTTATTCAGCACGTCTCATCTGGCTCTGAACGGCGTGAGGGAGGAGAGTAAAGCAGCGGCGGACGCAGGTTGGTGCATTTTGAAATGAAAGCATGACTCGTGACCTGTGTTTCTGTTCTGATGTGTCACGCACAGCCTGATGGGAAATCTGAGGTCAACTTCATGTGAGCGATTAAGTTAACTGCATACGATTGCCAAGCAACTTTGAAACTGGCTGCATTAATGTCAAAAATTGAATTAATGTGCATCATAGGTGTAAGTCAGTGTGTTGTCTGTTTCATTATATTTATTAAAAATATCTCAGAGAGAGAGTATGGCTTGTCATTTGTTTTAAATAATCTTTTGGTTTGTTTCCATCAAGTTCCAAATAAGACGGGAAAATAATCAATTGAAATGTTGAAATGAAGCGCCTTTCGTTTATAAAATGAAATATATAGATCCCAAAATAGGTATTTCCACATGACTGTGTTAATATATAAAAGTTTTTTATAGATTAAATTATTTAAATATAGATGATTCCAAAATAGGTATTAACACATGATTTTCTTAATATAGAAATTAAAATTAAGATTGTTAGATTAATAATTAAAATTTTATTTATATACAAACCTTTTTTATAGATGAATTAAATATATTAAATAGAGCTGATCCAAAAATAGGCATTAAACATGATTGTCTTACTAAATAAACTTTTTTTAAATTAATTAAATATATTAAATATAGATTGTCCCAAAATGTGTATTATCACAGTTGTTTTAATATACAAATCTTTTTTTATAGATTATAAAAATATATATAATCCTAAAACAGGTATTAACATTATTGTAATAATATATAAACATTTTATATAGATCAATTAAATAAAATAAATATGGATTATTCCAAAATAGATAATACCACATGATTATTAATATATAAACCTTTATTTAACAGATTAATTAAATATATTAAATATAAATTATGCCAAAATTTGTATTACTACATGATTGTATTAATATATAAACCTTTTTTATTTTAGTTTAAATGTAATAAATATGACCACATTACCGTATTAACATATAAACATTTTATACCTAAATAGGATTATCCTAAATAATGTATTACCCCAGGATTGCATTAATACATACATAATCTTTTTTTCTGATGAATTTGAAGAAAAAAGAACTATATTGTGATATGCAGTTTGTGTGATATAACATTTCTCATATTGTGATATAAGATTGTGGTCAACCTTCCCAACCCACTATAGGTCTCTCCTCATACCGCTCAGCATGGTGCCAAGAAGTATCGATCGCTGTAGGTTGTCAGTGCTGCATTGACAACACTGAAGTACATGTGTATGTCCGTATTATACAGAACTCGTCCGGGGAGTGGCGGTTTTTGTCTCTACTGGCTTTTGCTGCAGGATTTTTACTTGTAACATGCTGCAAGTGTGCTGTGGAAAACTACAGCAGCTAAGAGAAGACAAAGCGAGAGAGAGAGGGAGCGAGAGCTAGAGATGTAGAGGAGAAATAACTAGCTGTGTGTGGAGAGTCCGTCTCTCTCTAGTTCAGCAGTCAGCTCCTGTTACCTCGGGTTAGCCGGAGATGTCATGCTGATTCACTGTGTCAAGAAATGGGAAAAGTTGCTCCTCTGGCTGAAGTCTCGATCGCAAGTGCGGGATCTTCAACATCGACCGTTTTAAAGTTGCAAGTCGCATCTGCTGTAAGAAAATACAGTAATAATGTCATGAAATTTTGCAGCATAAGTGCAACCCAAATCGTATTCCTAAATGAATCTTTTTCACACTCATTTCATCAGTGAATACCCTCTGATTACAGATGCGCTGTTGCATGAACGTTTATTTTTGAATCTTGGATGTGTGTGTGTGTGTGTGTGTGTGTGTGTGTGTGTGTGTGTGTGTGCAGTAGATGCCCCATAAATGAAAAAAAGCGAAATGACTCTCAAATGTGAAATTCACTATTTGTGCAGGTGTATTAGCGTCTCCATGGCAACCGCTTTGGGTATCGCAGGGCAGCGCAGCATCCGCTGAGGACGGAAAATGCGAATGGATTTTCAACAAGGGGAACTAATTATGATGATTACGAGAAAATTGACTTACATTGTGTCTCCAAAACTAGAGAAGCCATTTCCAATTATTGCAAACCTACCGCATCTCGCCGGACTGCTGTGGGATTCAAACAGATATGTGGCTTAGATCAAGGGAATGTTTCTCCATCCAGTTCTTGAAAGCTAGGATAGTATGTAATGGAAAAAGACAACGGTTAGCATTCTTATTCATCTCAAAAGCAGTTGCAATCCACTTTTTCTTCTGTTTTAACATCCACCAGACAAGATGGCTAAATCTAGTTGAATTAAAACTCAACTGCACAGTAATTTCAGGTATCATTCATGTCTGAATCACAAACGGTGTTCAATATGTTATGCAGCAAAGATCAATACACTGGTTTAAGGTTTTGTTGAACAACTTGTCCAACTTGCATTTCTTTCTATAATTGTGCACTAATCAATATCTTCAGTTAATTCAAAATTGGTACCCAATATAGAAATCATCCTAGCTGGTTTCTTAAAAACCGTTATCCACACTTACAAGTTGTAAGTACTGATTATTGGAATAAGTCTGACAAGAAAATACCATTTCGGTCTTCGTAACTTGCCATTTCTTTATCATTATTTGTGAAATTTACTAACAATCTCTGAGTAAAAATCATTAAGTAATTTTTCAGTGATAAATAATTATAAAGGTCATGAAAAAGTCATGCAAATTCATTTGTTTAAAGGGGTTTCAATTTTTCCTTTCTCTTTGGAGTGTTACAAGCGCTTGGTGCATAAAGAAGATCTGTAAAGTTGCAAAGACTAAAGTCTCAAATCCAAAGAGATATTCTTTATAAAAGTTAAGAGTCAGCCACACCTACCTAAAACGCCTCGTTCTAACACGCCCCCACATATCTACATCACGATGTGGGAAGATTTGCATAACGCCGCCCAAATGTTCACGCAAAGAAAGAAGGCGTAACTTTGATTCTCGCTGTAGTATTGTTGCTGCCGCCGTGTCGTGAAGACGCTGTGTGCTTCGTTGTGAAAGCGAAACTACTTTGTTTGGCCTTCCAAAAGAGGACGATATCGCTTCGTCATGCCTGGAGCTGATCCGTGCTGGTCGCTGAGGAAATACATCAACTTTGCACTGTGGATCGCCGGATCGGCTTTCACCGTGGACGAAGCGGAGTCCAGCCCGGGGTCGTCACATGTGGTTGCCACAGGCATCACAATATGGTAAGGTGCGTAACATTTCCGTCACACGCTTGAGGAATTCGGCCAATCACAATGCACTGGATAGCTGGCCAATCACAGCACACCTCGCTTTTTCAGACCGATGAGCTTTGTAAAAATCGACGCGTTTCCGAAAGGCGGGGCATAGAGGAGAAACAATAATGTACAGTATGTGGAAAATAATGTGTTTTTTTAACTTTAAACCGCATAAACACATTTCATTACACCAAATACACAAAATAATGTTCATTTTAGCAGCATCATATGACCCCTTTAATGTATTAACTAACATTAACAATACATTTATTACAGTATTTATAAATCTTTGTTAATGTTAGTTAATGAACATAGTCATTCATTGTTATAGTTTGTTAATTCACAGTGCATTAACTAATGTTAACAAGTACTGCTTTTAATTTGAATAATGCACTAGTAAATGTTGAAACTAACATTAACTAAGATGAATAAATGCTGTAGAAGTATTGTTCATGCTTAGTTCATGTTAACTAAAGTAGTTAACTAGCGAACCTTATTGTAAAGTGTTACCGTTAATAGTTTTTGTTAATATTTTACATTAGTTTTTATTCTTATATTTTCCATTTTCATTTTAGTTAAATATTTAGTGTGTTTTTTATGTCTATATATTTTTGTTAATTTTTATTTCAGGTTTAATTTTAGTCATTTTATTAAATCAAGTTAAAGTAAATGAAAATGAGAAACGTTTACTTGACAACTAGTTGTAATAAAATAAGTTTTATATATATTTTAGTGTCATAATTTCAGATAATGTTAATTCATTTTTTTGTTTAGTTTTTGTTAACGCCAAGGTCATGGGTTCAATTCCCAGGGAAAGCAAGGAAAATGCGGAAAAATTCCCTGGTGGGAATATTGATCAGAATCAAATAGTTTCAAGAAAACTACTGGGATGCCACCTTAAAGGTAACTCAGAATGTAGCCTTGTAGTGCATACAGTTTTCTGTGGATTAAGTTTCTCCAAAGCTTGAGAGTAGGTGCTTTGAGTGTGTTTGTTGAGAACAGAGCCATGTTCTGTCCTTATGGGAGGGAGAGGGAGACACATTCCACTGCGCTGCTGTGATTTGGAAGCTCTCCAGCTGCTGTTTTTACCACACACACACACACACACACACACAGGTTTACTTTTGTGAAAAGTGGGGACATCCCATAGGCATAATGGTTTTTATACTGTACAGACCGTATATTCTATCGCCCTACACCAACCCTACCCCTAAACCTACCCCTCACAGGAAACTTTGTGCTATTTCAGATTTTCAATACACTCCATTCTGTGTGATTTATAAGCGTTTTGAAGAGTGGGGACATGGGGTAATGTCCTGAAAAGTCACCTTCTCCTTGTAATACCTATGTCATACCTTTGTCATTATACAAATTTATGTCCTCATTTGTCACAAAAAACGCATACACACACACACACACACACACACACACATACACACACACATACACATACACATACACACACACACATACACAGAGAGAAAAAATAGGCCAAGGCTGGTTTTGCCCAGAGGTTCAGCTGGGCCAAAATGAGCTGGAACAGCGTTCCGGTGTCATGCGAGATTCCATTCTGCAGCAGAATTCTTTGATGCCATGTATTTTATTAATGTATTTTAGTCATATTTCACATAGCATGTTAACTAAAGCTATAAATGATCCAATCAAACATTTCTCGTTTTGTTTTGTTTTTCATCAAATAAACCTGTAAAAAGTATCACGATTTCCACAAAAAATATTAAGCAGCACAACTGTTTTCTAAAGT